AACTGGTTTTAAAATAGGGTTTTTTGTTCCTTAATACCTGAGACCTTACAAAGGCAAGGGACATTTGCTAACAATAAATATTACACTAAATTTTAGTCATTTTTTTGTTCCAGACGTATATATTTAGGGTTCGCTACATATTTTAGGGGTTTGCTTTTTGTTGGTTTGGTTTTTGGGGTTCTCGGTTTTTTTTAAACTGCAACAATAGAACAGAGTAAGAATGAACTTCCAGAACCAGAAAATCCTCAAGACCTGAGCTGAAGTACCAATAATGTTGTTATCTGTACTGAGGACAGGGAGTAAGGCTCATAGCCTTAAGTGTGTTGGCATAGTTAGCCCAGGCATAGCAGTTTACAAATCAAAATAACAAATATTTTTAAGATTTCTGGCAGTATAGGAGCCCTTTAGACAGCTGCAAAACTATCTGAGTTATGGCATAATTCTATGAATTTTGCTTGTTAAAATCTGTTCTCACAGATGAAACCAAATGGACTTCAACTTGGAGTTCCTGGTGTGATGCCACCAGCTGAAGAGCCCCTTCTGGCCTCTACATTTCCCATAGCAGTACAACAGTGGGAATATGAACCAGACCTGAAGCCTTTTGTTTGCCCATTATACATAGATAAAAATTGCACTGTTAGCTTTCCCACACCTGCCTGAATTGCATTCATTCACTTCTAGTCTTATGGAAGCATTTTACACTGAAGGCCACCTCAGTCTTTGACTTTTTTTTGTGCCTTGACAAGGGCTTTCAGCACATTTTACGTAGCACATTTCACAACAGGTAATGGACATATTGAAGGCCAGCACACGTGAGCTGATGTTCACTGTGTTAATTCATAACTCATAAATGGAATCCCTTGTAACAACTCACTTTCTGCCTAATCTTAGGGAACGAGGAGTTGTGATCTAAAACCCTTAATGTGTGAACAGAGAGGAGACCAACCAGCATGGACCATATAGGCCATCTGGTGCACCAATTAATGAAACTCAATGTGGAAAATAAAATAAAGTGTTGCCTTAAAAGTTTCTTTTCCTCTTCCTAAGCCTTTGCATTGTTGTGAGAATGTTTTGTCATTTGCTTAAGAAAAAGAATCAGAATTTCAAGTGCTCTGTATCACTCTGAACACCTCCTCCCATATGCTGATGTACATTTGGTGCGTGAATGAATCCCAATCTTGCTTAAATGCTGTGAAAGTCACAGAAAGCACATCTTTATTTCTGTTCCCTCAGTCCTTTTACTCATTGCTGTAGTGCAGAGAGTTGTGGTTTGGCTGTTTATTGCAGAGAGAGGCCTGTTGATAGGTTTGGTGTTGAAGTGTTTGAGGAAGGAAACTTTCAGGAAACATAATTTCAGGATAAGGCAGCAGGAAACCGAAGCCTGTTTGCTTCGGTGAGAGGATGGAGGGGGTTCAGAAGAGGACAGCTAGCATGGAAGTTTCCAGGGGTAAGGGTAGGCAGCTTTGAGTGGGATCACTGCTGAGCAGAAACCAAGGGGGCACTTAAGGGGGTCTTTACAGATAAGGTCAGAAAAATTCAGAAACACTTTTCTGGTTGACGTTTTCCTTGGAAAATGTTGACCGAAATAATAATTTAAGCAGGAGGAATTTATTAATTGGTTAAAGTGTTGTGAACATCTATTTTATTATATGTTTTTGTCAGGCTTTGTAGTTCTAGTGAGGAAAAGGAGACATTTTGATCATAATATATTTTTCCTTTTTTTCCTGATCAGTTCATGCTAAGAATAAACCTTTGAAGTCATCTAAGTAGGTGTACTGTTATATACATTTCCTCACCACAGATTACAGTAATTTATTAAACATGTTAATATTTTTATCATATAGCCTCAATGCAAGAATGCTAACTGTAGATAAGAAAACATTCATAATGTAAAACCAGATAGGTATCCTGCAAGCTATGATCTAACCAAAAGTGAATCACCTTAGTTAAAGCAATAGAGATTAAATTAATCTAATCAGGCCATACTACTGTTCCAGTCAAAACTTTATCACTTTTGATTTACAAAGAGAAGGTGGCTTAGGCTGTCTAAGCATGGACAAACGTAGCTGACAATCTCCATGAGAAAAACAAACCAGAAAGAAGTCAAGTGTGGCTTTAAAAGTACCAAGCTGCAGTTCCCAAGCCTTAGACCTTCCCTCCACCTTTAAAAAGCTAGCTAAAATGCAGCATGCCCTGAAGGTCAAATTGCAGGGACTAGTTTGAACCAAGTGAAAGAAAGACATTACTTAATCAAGTCCCCTCCTGGGAGGCAACAGAAAGGCAGCTGGCCCTCATACCTCGGCAGGCAAAGTGCAGGGACGGAAATGACTTTGCAAGTAACGAAATGCCTAGATCAAAATTATCAAATGCTCACCACCAGCACCTGCAAAGTGAGCCATATCTCCTCAGCAGGGAGGCCAAGGAGATTCTCAAGCATTGGTGACCAAAAGCTTGCAATGCTTCCCATTATCCCCAAGGGTGCCCTACAAACACAGGGAATCTGAACAGTCCATGGAACTTCCCTGAAATACATTCTGGGTCCCAGCAGTTCAGTTTCAGTCTTTAACCAAAGGCAGGCCAGGGTTCACAAAGGGTTCTGCTGGATGATGAAATTTGCCACCTTTCTCCCCAGCAGGTAAAAATGACTGCAGATGCGTTAACCCAAAAATATGCCTACCCTCTTTATGTCCAGGCATTTATTTTGTCCAGTAAAGGATAATAATACTTAGAGCATTCATGTCATTGCTTGCTCCTTTTCTCCCTGACCGTGACCTCTAACTTGCTGTGAACTTCAGAGTGTGTTAGCAATGCAAAGAGAATTTCATATGCTTAGGAAGAGGGAAAGATGCTATGGTTCTTATTTGCCATTATTCTTCTTCCTTCATCCCAATTAGTAATGTATCCATTGGTTTTGGCTGCTTTCAATGTATATTTCCCACCATTCAGGCTAGCTAAGTTATAGAATGAGCAGGCATTTCAATTTATGCTAAACCAGTACAAGCAAGTTATTTTTTTAGCTGTACCATTTACTTCAAGAGCATGCACATGCTTAACACCAAGCTATTTACCATATTAATGGCACAAACACACTGAGTGCTAAAATATCCTCAAGGCTTTAGTAACCCATTCAAGTAAGTCCTGAATGTTCTCCCATAGGAAGGGGTTACCAACAGCTCAGCAGGATGGCAGCTTTCAGATATTTAACATTTAGTGAATTCATTTGGACTGAAAAGGTTGACTTTAACTGTTTGATACTCCAACCAATATTTTTTTTTTGATTTTCACAATGCAGCCAATAAGGCAATGACTTTTCCCTCCATCAGAAAGGGGAAAAAACCCAAGGAAAAACACCCATCCCATAATCTGCTTTGTTTTTCCTGGAAGAAAAGTGAATCAAAATTTATTTTAAAATGTCCTGGGGTTCTGCATGCAAAACAGTTAAGTTTCTGTTTTTCTTGGCCACTCAAAAGAGTACTGCACGGTACTTCACAGCTTTGGTCTCTACCTGTTCCCAAAGAATGTAGCCTGTCCATGTGAACTGTGTGTCTTAGGAGAGAGAAACAGCAGAAGAAGAGGGAACGATATTCCAAAGTGCTTGAATGAAATCTGGACAAACAAAAATTTCAGCTGCGGGTTGATGGTTTGTTTTTTTCATTGCATGAGGAGCCAGGATAAGAAAGAATTATTTGTTTTCATTTGAAATTCTATAAAAAGTAACAGGACTGAAGCATTGTGTGTATGTTGGAAGACTGAAGCCCATGTCATCTGCTGCTGTTTTTGTCTCTAGGCCATGCCTCATTTACTGGTTGAAATTCTTGGGGAAGCTTTTGGTCTCGTCTACACTCTGCTTTACAAAAGCAATGCCAGTCTGTACTGTACAACCAGCACTATGTTACATTCCAGGCTTGTTTCCCCCCTCCTATAAGCTGATTGTTAGAGAATGCAGAGAGCATGGTGACATTTTATAACCAAGAAAATAAACAAGACGTATCTGTAATAGCAAATTGCCCCCTTTCCTCCCTAATTAAAAAAAAAAAAAAAAAAGCAAAAAAGGAATCACAGGTAATAATATACAGGAGAACACAGATAGTAAGCTTGGCAAATAGGCGCTGATCATAGGCACTGTGATCAGAAAGACCCTAGAAATGTCTCTAAATACAATATAGCCAAAGGCAAGTGAGGAAACAAGGTTAGTTAAAAAGTAATGTGGATACTCCTGGTTCACAAAGTCAAGCCAGCTTTGTTCCTTTTTTATGATCAGCACGTCATGGAATAAAAAGGAACTTATCTGTAAATCTCCTTACAGCATGATTCCTATGTGAAAATAAAAAAGGAAGGCAAAAATGAGCTACACTGAAGTAGAGGGAAATTTACACCACAAGCCCAGACTGATTACTGAGGATAAGCCAAACCTGTTGTAAACAAGTAATATGAAGACACATGCAAAAGTTGGAAGAAAATGCATAATGTTCTCCAACTCAGACATGTTTACATTCTTTACACCTACCACAGAAAACTTACATAGTATTGTTTTATACAGATAGGTAACAGGGACTGGATAAAGTTTAAGGCAAGTTTTCCCACTATGGCAATGAAAACTGATTTCTGTATTGAAAAAAAGAACACGAGCTGACTGAAAGAGACACTTTCTGGAAGAAATAGTTTCTGTCTGGCAGGCATTTACAAAGACAGGTTCAGTATCTGTCCCTTTTCCCAACTTAGAAAAATATCAGCCACATACATTATAAACCTCACATTTAGTAGCTTGCATCAGTGGAAAGACCAAACCATGACAGCTTTTTCTTTATCACCACTAAACTGCCTGTATCTTAAGGTTCACAAGAAGGCATAAACACCATTCTTTTACAGACAATTTCTAAATCCTTTAACTACTAAAATAAGAGAAAAATAGGAAAAAAAACCAACTCATTAGCTATCAGTTCCGCACAGTTTCCAAAGCACTGATAAGCATGTATGCATTTTTGACAAATACTTCTTACCTGTAAAAGAGCAATGTTCAGATTCCTTACTAGATGTTATCGTCATGACAAGTCAAACAATCTTTTTCATAAAAGGTTGAATGTCTTTTCAATAAGGCATGTGTGCATGGTTTAAGAAAAAAAAAGCAACAAACCAAAACACAACAAAACACAACCCTCAGAGAGTCTCCCTTCCGTCACTGTCAGTAAAAAACAAGTTGGAATAAGTCTGAGTTGGAATTACCTGAATAAAGAAACTGGAGGAAGGGAGGGAGGGAGGAGAAGGAGGGAGGGGGAAAGAGAGAGAGTAAAAAAAATAGTCTGAGAGGAGACTCAGTGATGTCAGCAGTATGTGTTAAGGAAATCTACAGCTGAGCCCAGCAAACTTTATAGCTACATAGCACTCGACACCCAGTTATGTGGTAAGCAAATACCTGCTTAAGAGGAAACTGATGTACTTTTAAAGAATGTCAGTTAATCTTTGAAAAACTTTAGCCAGGCTGATCAAAGTCCTTAAAGGCCTTATTGCCTGAATAAATAAGGTTACATGTGGTTGTATAATGTCAAGAAAAAAAGAAGAATAAAAAGTCAACACTATAGATTACCCCTTTCCTGTTGGCAAAGGAAGGCTGAAATTCATATGAAACAAGTTCTTGTGATGGTTGTAACACACTGAACTGTAGCAGCCACGAACACAACTGAAATCCCTGACCACCAAAGCTTCCAATCTGCTTAGCCACAAAACTCTTTTCCTTTGATGACTTATTCTGGGTTTGATTCAGTGCCTTTCTGCTCTGCAGAAATCACAGATAGTGCTGATGTGAACTAGGAGAAGTCTGGTACATTGAGCAAAGCGAGGAAGAGGTATGGATATTTGTTATCTGGAAAGCCTGTACACTGCCATTGGTACCACTCTGGTATTTTATGGGATTCCCAGAACTGAATGCAAACAGCAGCAGTGAAAAGGAAGTCACTGCGACATTAGAAAGGCTAAGGTAATAGCCTTTGGATATCATTATTCTGCATCCACATACCCAAGGATACTGCTTCCAGGAATTACATATCTCAGCAAGCTAGTCCAGTACACTTGTAGTTCAGCATCACCTGCAGGGCCATGCCATGGTCTAACTGATGTCAGGTGAACTTCATTCTCTTTTACTTGGGAGAAAGAGATCAACACATGGGGAGTGGTTTACTAACAGAATTCTGCCCGGCTCACATTCATGGAGAGCACACTAGCAAAAGCAAAATCTCTCCTTAGCAGCACTGGTAAACAGATGTTTAAATGCCATTAACAAGCATTAATAATGTTGTGATATGTGACCATAAGAAACTAGAGGCTGGAATTCTGCCGTCGAGTGGTCAAGTATGTAGGCATTCAAGCAGAGCCAGTAGGTAGCAGCTGTTTTACATTTAAAAGGACAACAGTTAGATGAGATTTTTTTCTATTTGTCAGAGACTAAAGAATTTCACACTGCTTGGATTGTTCACCAAATCCATGAACCTGTTGCACTGGTATCTCTTTCTCTATATTTACAATGAAGGAGGTGACAACAGCTCCTATCAGTTTTCATTATATATATATATATTACATATATATATGTAATTGTGAATGTCTTTTTCTGCTTTCAGATAAGCTCTTTGTTTGCAGAACCTTCTGCCAGGTCAGGGGATGAAGCCACCCATATTAAATTTATCACTATCCAGTTCAATTATGTTTCCCTGTAACTGAAATACACATTATTAAAAATCTTCAAATACACCTTTCTTCTTTCTTTTGTCAAAGTTTGGGAAATATTCGTAACTGAATATGAATATTCTAATGTACTAGTCCCACACATCCCCTAAATCATCACCTGTGGCAAATTGGTGTCCTTAAACTCAGCTATAGTGTAAGGGGCTGTTGGGAGAGTGTAATACAAGGATATGCTCTGAATAATGCGTTTCACACTTTGTGTAAACACACTGCAGTTCAGTTTTTAATTCCTGTGCTGATTTGCTCATACTCTGTGGACCCCTATCCCATTCCAGAAGACAGACTGTCATAGCTGAGGGTGGAATTTAAGTTGTATAGGCATTTCCCAGCTTTGCACACTTCACTTGAAGACTTAAATACCTTTCTTTGACTGCAGTTTTCTATTCATCCATTTAGCAGAGAGCCCATAGGTAATCAGAGCATATAGCAGGAGCCTCTATGCTCAGCTCTTACTTCTTCTCTACTAAAGTAAAGTATTTAAACGCCATTTTCTGGTGGGTGCCCACATGCTCCCAGACTGTTCCCACACTGCTGCTGAGGCAGGCTAAAAGGAGAAACTAATTTATTAGTTTATGCCCTCCAAAAAAGCATAAGCTCAAATGTTTCTTCAGCTTCATCTTAGTACTGAAGCTCATAAACCTGTGTCCTTACAGCGACAACAGGTAAAAGATCAAAAGTTTGGGCTAGATGAGTTGAAATACTTACCCAAAGTTCTTCAAATCAACAAAGCTGAGCAGGGAATCGCATGATGATAAGAGGCTTGCTCAGGGTATTTTCAGTTCTTATGTTGGTTCTGGATAGAGCTGATAGGAGAAGAGACAATAAAATAAGAATCCCTGGCAGAAAAGCTAGTCAGATCTGTACTTCCAGCTTATCCTAGATCCAAAACTCAATTCTTTTACTGTAAAAGTGCTTTGGGTTTCTCATGTGCAATGTGACCCTCAGCTCATTAGGATGTGTGCAGTGGGAATGAGGAAAGCCACAGTGGCACTTCAAGCCTTACTTCTTTTTCTCTGTTCCTGTGAACCCCAAATTGATGAACTAAAAATCAGAAAGAGGATATAAAGAAATTGGGATTGTTGTATAAAACCAGACACAAGACTAGAAATGGACCTTGCACAAAATATGTTCAAGATGTTCTCAACAGAGGTGTCTCCTGTGAACTGCTATTTTATGCACTAAACACCTATTTTATGCACCTAAATATCTGTGTAAAGGTGAACCTTATCTACTCATGCCCAGATCCTTGGATGTAGTGAGGAGCACAGCTCCCAGAGAAATCACGCTGGTGCCTAAACACTTTTGCATACATGTCTCTCAGGACACAGGCTCACTCTGTAACACTGGGATATTAGTACAGCCAAACCTCAGAAGCATTTCACGACAAATACAATAAAGATGGGAAGGAAAAGCACAGAAATGTATCTCTTGTAATAGCTCATGTATTTTTAGTGCACCCTCCAAGTCAAAACAATTTGGTAAAGCGTTCAGTTCTGCTGGCTGGAGGCCAGAACTATTTTGCCATGATTCATGGTGCTCTGCATTCTGCAACCATTTCAGTCCTGCAGCACAAACACTTCTTTTACATTTCAGTAGTAAACTGTTAGAACATAATGTTTTCTGCGTGTACCATCTGGCTTTCCATCTTAATATACACAATCTATTTTTTCTGGTCTTATTGTAGGCTTTAGAAAAATTGCATCAATAATAATAAGGCCTTCAGTTAGTAGAAGTGTTAGTGAAAAGCTAGTAAGAATGTTGCCTATGTTGCCCATGGACTCATTACTTCAAAAGGTGTCTTGATTTGAAAGCAAGTACTATAAAACCAATGCAACAGAAGTATCCACTTTGTATTAACAGTAACAAAATATTACAACCAGCGCCGAACTAAGCTCAAATGCCTTTTTGTCGAGAATTATTTGAATTATACCTAGTCATTCAGAATGAGGCACTTCCAGGATTAAAAGTACATTCATTAAAAATGGTAAAACCCCCACATTGCTGTGCACATAAAATAAATTTATTTCAAAAGTAAGAAACTAACTAAGAATTATTTTCCTGTTCATGAGATTACGAGAAGATTTCTGCAGGTGAAAGTTCACTGACTTTCTTACGTGCAAGTAGAAATACATACTTTCCAAACCTTAAATAAGAGACATTATACTTTGCACTTTCTTTATTGTATGTTTTATTTGTCTTAAAATATATATATATATATATATTTTTTTTTTTTTTTTATTTTCTCCTGTGCATTACAATATTCATCTAAACTGGAAATCAAACAGTTCATCTGCTTCTTATTGATGAAGTTCTTGGTTGAAAAAAAGAATTGAAGGGCTAACATTTGTTACACACATTCTCGTGAGATCAGGAAAAACATTGGACCTGAAGGTGTCGTAGGAAATGCCATTCTCCAATCAGGTGAGTGCTAATGGACACATGAACCTTCTCACTCCAAAGAAATCAGAAACCATACTCTCACTGCATATGCTCTTAAGGCAGTTGATGAACATTTTTCCATCTTCTTTCATTTTCACCTTTTAGTTGACACTGCAACAGTGGTGGCACCGAGGAATTCACAGCACACTACTTACCCTGCTGTGGTTTAAAGAGGTGGTTTGCATACAAGGTGTCCACCATATGTTCTTTGCATTATGAGAGGTTGTGGCTGACACTGTCATTCCTAAGGGAGATTTGTGCACATGAAAAGCGTATAATTGGAACATGATTTTATTCTACTTGACGAGCCTCACACAGAAGAATCTGGCTGAGGAGGAGCCAGCTCTGTTCTCAGTGAAGCAAGCAGTGACCTTTGTGGAAACCCTGTTACCACAGCAGTTAGTGCTTTCAAAAGCTTCAACTTCATCCCAAGTAATTTGTATTCGAGAAGACTGCAGTTGCTGAGATGTGTCTTATCTGTTCACATTAGGGAAGGTGGTTGCACTTCATCTGAATGGCTCAAGGTTTCAGAGCCTCAGCTAGTCTGCTGTCCTACTAGGGATGGAAGGACTTTGATGGCAAACCTCAGTTTCCAAATTTAAGCTCCTGCCCAGAGGTGTTTCTTCTTGATGACAGAAGTATCAAGAAGATACTTCTTGCTACCCAAGATGCTGTTCAACATCTTTGTTGGTGACATAGTGAGATTGAGTGCGCCCCAAGCAAGTTTGCCAATGACACGAAGCTGTGTGGTTCGGTTGATACACTGGAGGGAAGGAATGACATCCAGAGGGACCTTGACACGCTTGTGAGGTGGGCTGATGCCAACCTCATGAAGTTTAACCGTGCCAAATGCAAGGTCCTACACCTGGGTCGGAGCAATCCCAGGCACAGCTACAGGTTGGGCAGAGAAGAGATTCAGAGCAGCCCTGTGGAGAAGGACTTGGGGGTGGTGGTTGACGAGAACCTTAACATGAGCTGGCTTCAGTGTGCGCTCACAGCCCAGAAAGCCAACCGTATCCTGGGCTGCATCAAGAGGAGTGTGACCAGCAGGTCGAAGGAGGTGATCCTGCCCCTCTACTCTCCTCTCGTGAGACCTCACTTGGAGTATTGTGTGCAGTTCTGGTGTCCTCAACATAAAAAGGACATGGAACTGTTGGAACAAGTCCAGAGAAGGGCCATGAGGATGATCAGGGGACTGGAGCACTTCCCGTATGAAGATAG